CATAGCACGCAGACGTGGAAGAGAAGGGTGTCCCAGCCGGTGGTGCCACAGAACGGTGGGGTGGGCAAGCGACCGACAGGAGCAAGACGCAGCGACTGGACTGGACGCGACAACCTGAGAGGACGGAACCACCTGGTGAGACGCAGGGAGGAGACTAGGGGGAGGGACAGGAACTGGGAGGAGGGGCTGCTGTGACGGCGGCCGCTGTGGCTGCGGCTGCTGCTGCTGCTGCTGCTGCGGCTGCTGCTGCTGCTGCAGTCGCTGCTGAGCGCGCGGGCCAGTGTGAAGAGTGTAGAGACCGGAGCCCGGCTCAGCAGCAAAAGTGGCGAGGGGCTGGTAAGAGTCCCCGTCAACACACACCGCAGTCTCTCCAGAAGGCTCAAACCACACACCCACGTGCTGACTCACAAGGGGTCGCACGCCCACCAAGTTCCGGGAGAACGAGGGGACGTGAAACCCAGTGAGAGACCCAGAAGGAGCAGCCGGACACGGCAAGGTGGTAGTGTGACGCGCGGTGACTGGTCCCGAAGTGGGATCAGCCAGCGCCACAGAAACAGGCGCAGGAAGAGGCGTAAGTGTCGTGCTGTCACGAAAGAAGCAGTGAGAGGCTCCAGAGTCCAGCGTGAACGACAGCGAACCGTCCTCTGAGGTAGCCGCTGGACTAGAGTCTACACAAGAACCTACACTAGCAACAGGCAACTGAGCAAGGCTAGCACCTAAGCTAACAACACCAGAGTAAGCAGAGTCAGAAACACTAGAGTCAACAACAGCATACATAGCATGAGGAGCACCAATCAGATCAACTAACTGCTCAGCAGACATGCCCCACAGAGCGGAGCCGTAGCGCTGAACCAGAGGAAGCCAGTCAAGGGCAGGACCGCCAACCCCGTAGGCCAACCGGACCGTGTCAGTGAGCTGAGCAAAGCACTGACCAGGGGGGTGAAAGCGGCCACAAGGGTGGCCCCGACGAGGACCTGTCAGAACCTGATAGGTGCAGGGAGGGTAAGCAGCACCACGCTGGGGCTGACGCAGCCCCGACCCCGGAGCCAGCTGCTGACGCTGCTGCTGCTGAGGCTGCTGGGAGGAGAGGGGCTGCTGGTGCTGCTGAAGCCGCTGCTGACGCTGAGCCTGGTACCACGCCGCTGCTCCACCTAGCGGGGCCGGCAGTACAGGAGACGACTGACGAGCTCGGGCGTCGCCACCACCAGCAGGCGCAGTGGAGTCACCAGCCGCTGCACGAGAGGTCTCTCCAGACGCTGCACTCCCACCACCGCCAGTCGCAACAGCACCCCCACTACCTCCGCTACCTCCGCCTCCACCTCCACCAGAACCACCTTTCTTGCCCCCCTTGCCGCGGGACCGCGACGCAGTCGTAGCAGCAGCTGCAGTCGCGTCAGTAGCGGCAGTGGCAAGAGAGGCAGTGAAGGTGGGTAACTGCGGGACTGTGCACCCGTGGAAGAGTGGGGGGGGCACAGCACCAGAGGCGGCAGCTACCGAGCGAAGGTTGCTCTCGACGTCCTTGAGCGCAGACTCAAGGACCTCAACTGTCAGCTCACTAGGGTGCTTCAGCAGGAGCGCGTCACGTACGGAGGCAAGGCGGTCAGGGAGGCTAGTGGCGATGAAATAGATAGTAATCGCCATGGGGGGAGGAAGCAGTGCAAGCTGTGCCTCAGTGCAAGCAGCGCGGTAACTAGCGTCGAGCGAGCGGAGGTGAGCGATCAAGTCAGCAGAGCGCTCAAACGAGGCGAGATCAGGAAACAGGAACGGGAGGAAAAGACGGCCAAGAGAGACAGTAGCGGGAGTAGAGTAGCGGGCCTTAATCGCAGTGAGGTACGCAGCAGCGGTGCGAACCTGAGTGAAGTGGACCTCCTCTGACTCAGGGAGGAGGCTGCTGAGTGCGATGCAGGCCGCAGCGTCACGTGACGTCCAAGCCGTCCTGTCAGCGCGCTGACGGGCAAAGCGAGCCGTAGCAGCATCGTCAGGGGCAGGACCTAAAGCGGCAGGCTCGGGGGGCTCGGGGAGGTCACCAGTAGCGTGCGACCAGAGGGTCTCGCCCCCCTGGACTTGACTCTCTAACAGACGGCGAGCACGAAGAAGCCAGACGGAAAAGTCAAGAGGTCTACCGTCAGCGTCGAAACGAAGAACTCGCGGAGTCGCCATAGCGAAAACTAACGCGAACGAGCAGGCGAGTAACAGCAGGAGGTAAGAGGCAAATTAGGGTGCAGGTGGGACTTAGTCGCAGCGGAAGAGCGGGCTAGAGCGACGGGCCAGGGCGTAGGGTCGACGGGACGGGGGAAAGGGCGGGCACGATGCGACGGGGCAGGGCGACGCGACGGGGCAGGGCGACGCGACGGGGCAGGGCGACGGGACGGGGAAGGGCGACGCGACGGGGCAGGGCGACGGGACGGGGAAGGGCGACGCGACGGAGCAGGGCGACGGGACGGGGCGACGGGACGGGGCAGGGGCAGGGCGACGGGACGGGACGGGACGGGACGGGACGGGGCAGGGCGACGGGACGGGACGGGGACGGGACGGGGCAGGGGCGACGGGACGGGACGGGGCGACGGGACGGGACGGGGCAGGGCGACGGGACGGGACGGGACGGGACGGGACGGGGCAGGGCGACGGGACGGGACGGGGACGGGACGGGGCAGGGGCGACGGGACGGGACGGGGCGACGGGACGGGACGGGGCAGGGCGACGGGACGGGGCAGGGCGACGTGACGGGGGGAAAGGGCGCGACGCGACGGTGGGAAAGGGCGCGACGCGACGGGGGGAAAGAGCGCGACGCGACGGGGGGAAAGGGCGCGACTCGACGGGGGGGAACGGGCGCGACGCAACGGGGGGAAAGGGCGCGACGTGACGGGGGGGAAAGGGCGCTAGGCGACGGGGGGAAGGGCGCTAGGCTCGGCACTAGGCGCGGTAACAACGGAACCGGTACGAACGAGAGGTAGGATCAGGCTCGGGAGATACGAACGGAGAACGGAGGAACGGGATCCCACAGGATCCTAACCTAACTGATACCATGTCAGAATGAGGAATGGATGATGCATTGATGTTGGTTGGGGTACATATAGCTAACCCTAAGTTTTGTACCCCCTAAGACAAACCTCACTATAGGCTACAACATTTGACACAAACCCCTTCTTGCTTGGCCAAACATCCTCTCTCTTCCTAAAACCTAATTTCTCCTAAGCCTACTATTCTAACATGCTATCAGAGCCACTACGGTCTTAGGACCTATTTTATTTTTAAGAATCATGGGCCCGCCCGTACTACAGCGCGAAATGCGCTATTTTTTTCCCCGTTCGCCCGTCACGCGCGCCCTGCCCGTCCCCCCGAACGTGCCACGTCGGCTGCCCCGCGGACGCTCTGCCCGTCGCCCTGCGCGCGTCCCGTCTGCGGCCCCGCGTGCGCCTTGTTGGCTGCCCCGCGGACGCCCTGCCCCGCGCGCGCTCTGCCCGTCGCCCCGCGTGCGCTTCGTCGGCTGCCCCGCGCGCGCTCTGCCCGTCGCCCCGCGCGTGCCCTGCCAGCGCGGACGTCAGCGCCAGGCGCCGGAGCAACGGCCAGCGCCTGCGCCAGCGCCACCGCCAGCGCCAGCAGCAGCTACTGCCGCCCCACCCCCCCGCCCTCTCTTCCGCGGCTTCCGTCGTGGGGGGGGGGGGGAGGGGGAAGGGGAGATGTGGGGGTGGCGGGTGTGAGCCTTCAGCAACCCGTCCCTCCCCTCTCTCTTCCTCTCTTCCTGCAGCACTAGTTGCGGTAGGAGGAGGGGGGGGGGGAGAGGAGAGAGGTTAAGGGGGGATGAGAGAGGTTAAGGGGGGACGAACGAGAGAGAGAGAGAAAGGGTCTCTTCTTTTCTGTTTTCTACTTTCGTAATGTTTTCTTGTCGTTCGTTCCTTTTCTCCGTCGTTTCTGGGCGTGGTCACCCAGAGTCGCGCACACCAGGCATCCACTGCGGGGGTTAAACCGCAGGCGGGAAACTCCATCGTGTGTTGTATCGGTGGGCCCAGCTGCGGCCCGGTGAAGTCTGCACTTAGGGTAGAGCGCCCCTCACTAGCTATGCTTGTATGCAGTTAAGGGGGGATGTCAGAAATTGTATTTCTATGTATAACTGCATATTAGCTTAGTTAGTGTAGTATCTATTTCATTGTTGGTGGTATACCCCCCTTGGCCACCTTCCCTTGCCCTATTTCTTGTAACTCTCTCCATAGTCAAACCCCTTCTTGCTTGGCCAAACATCCTCTCTCTTCCTAAAACCTAATTTCTCCTAAGCCTACTATTCTAACATGCTGGCTGTGGATATTTCTAACAAGAGTGGTGTTGGCTGTGGATATTTTTAGCAAGAGTGGTGCTGGCTGTGGATATTTCTAGCAAGAGTGGTGCTGGCTGTGAATATTTCTAGCAAGAGTGGTGCTGGCTGTGGATATTTCTAGCAAGAGTGATGCTGGCTGTGGATATTTCTAGCAAGAGTGGTGCTGGCTGTGGATATTTCTAGCAAGAGTGGTGTTGGCTGTGGATATTTCTAGCAGAGTGGTGCTGGCTGTGGATATTTCTAGCAGAGAGGTGCTGGCTGTGGATATTTCTAGCAGAGTGGTGCTGGCTGTGGATATTTATAGCAGAGTGGTGCTGACGGTGGATATTTCTAGCATGAGTGAGTGATGCTGGCTGTGAACACCGGTAGCTGTGGTGGCTACTGCTCGGCTACCCTCTGGGCAGCAGATTACACAGGTGATTCAAAGGCATGTCCTGAATGCAAGGTTACAGGAACCTTTGAAGACTCTCTAGCTTTAGCTTTCTGCAAGGGTTGACTGGTAATGCCACCCTTTGACAGTGGCAAAAATCAAAACATGGAGATCGCCACTCCCCAGGCCAGTCTAGGGAAATCACTACTATGGCATGTCTATTACACTGCAAATACTACGGTAACAATATTTGTACAGCAAAGCAAATCACTCAATACTAGTTTGGACCCATAGGTTGTACTGCTATTGCCGATGCAGCTACTCAGTGAATGTAGGGATCATGACATTGTTGACCCCATGGATTGCCACGTGAGGGTCTTGATACACATTGTTCACCTTGACATAAGCACCACCATGCGTACCCGGCTTCCCAAACTGAGGGACCTTTGTAGGAAAACGGCGGACCTTGAAATCCCCATGGCCGGTCACAATCTGCATCACAGAGCGGATGGAATATGTCGTAGAGGGAAAGGGAGGTGTGTGGGGGGTTTGACCGAGAGAACGCGCAGACAAAGCGAGAGGGAGGAATTCACGTCTGATAATAAAGTTCTGGGTCGAGGCGAGTTGCAATGTTGACCAATATGTACAAATATATTTTATATATTCACTATAAATTCTCACCAGCGTGTTAAAGGGGATTTTCGCGAGCTCCTTGTACATGTAACGGCCCGCCAGCATGTGATACGCGAACACCTGCCACATCTTTTTGGAGTCCTTGCGGATCAGGTTTCGCGTGTACGCGCTGAGCTTGTTCCACCCCGTGTTCATCGGCAGGAGTAGCGTCGCGTGCGATGTAGGCAGCTTCTGTACTAGAGTGTCGTTGAATCCTGAGCACAAACACGGTTAACATTTCAGTAACTAGAATCAGGGTATGACGGTAATTGAATAGGAGAAAGTAGCATATCGAAGCAAATTAAAGAGACAGCTCGTTTAACGTAAGAGCGGCGCTTCCCATTGAGGCTCGTGCGATAGGAGCGGACAAACCATCAAGTCATGACAGCAAAGCCACGTGTACTGCACTATGAGGCGCCTCGGCAGCACTCACCGCATTCCCTCATGTACGTAATCGTCGTCGTCATTTTCTTCCTCTTAAGAGCAGCCTCAATCTGTTTTAGCGCGGCCGCCGGATTGTACTGCGCGCGCGCTGCGACGAGAGCGCTGAGCAGCAACACCGCGTGGAACACCACCGGACCGTTGAGCCTGCGCGTCCCCATTGCTGCCGGGGAAACAAGTTCCCAAGGCGCCTCAGATGTTACGATAAGGAGTTCGAAGAGTTGATCTAGTCCGACGTGTGAGCTACCCGAAGTGATTAGCTGCGCTGGGATGTCGTTGGTTTGCCTGGGGATTTTAGTTCCAGACGAGTAAGAAAAACGGAGTCGAGGACTCGCTACGCGCTCAGGGATGGTTTATCGATTGACTAATTTAGTGGCTGTCTGCAAGACTATACCGAAGTGAGGTGAGGTGAGGAGCGAGGAGGAACAACTTGCTCGCACTGATATCTCCTGCTTTGCCTGCTTGCCCTCGGCGAAGGCATGGTGGTGCCATGGTTGATCGGTGCTATGATGGGGAGGGGACAACGGAAGGGGATGCACGTGCTTGATGCGTGGGTAAAGTACTCCGCCGATTAGAACCGTACGAAAATATGCTCGACCGCACTGTAACCTATCTACACCCTCCGACCGCACTGTTTGCCCGAGCGAGGGGAGATCGAAAAACAGCCAAGTGTCCCGTGACCCGTCCCGTCCTGCAGCGCACTGGTGGAATCGTTACACTGACAGCGCACTTCGCGCCGTGTCATGCTGCCCCTTCCGAGCCGCGAGATGCTGCGAAATTTGCAAGGAACCTGTGCATCA